CAATATATAAATTATATATATTTATATATTTTCTATTGTATAAAACATTGTTTAATTTGGATTCATACCCACCCATTATAGGTTAGTTTATGTTATGTTTCATTACCCCTCCCTCTGTAGGAATTTTGACGGAGACATAGCGTTAATATAAAGTAAATATGTTAAAATGGCAACGGCGGCCATTATTTGACGTACTTATTTCAATGTAATGTGTATGTTTATCAGTGAACGTTATCAGTTCACATGAGGTTTACCTTACCCTCCAGTAGATGACATCGAAAGAGGAGACAACCATATAGCTACCTCCCTCATCACTGACATGAAGTTATAGTGCGCATGCACACTTTAATCCGCCATTTTGATTGAAATTAACATCCCTAACTAAGTCTTCTATTACCCCTACCATCGTTAGACCACGCCTCCCCTAACCCCACTCTCATAAGACCACGGTTCCTTTCACTATCTATGATAAGATCACGCCTCCATTACACTATCTATGATAAGACCAAGCCTCCCCTTAACACATCATTGATAAGACCACACCTTCTCCTTACCCCCACCAACGAGAAACCACGTTTATTGTTTGACCTTGACTACCTTGACACTCCACCCCTTCCCACCGCCATTGATAAGACCACACCTCCCCTTACCTCCTCTATGATAAGACAACGCCTCCTCATACCCCCACCATCGAGAAACCACGCCCACTGTGTGACCTTAACAACGGTCATTACCCCTACCATTGAGAGACCACGCCTCCCCTTAACCTATCATTGATAAGACCACGCCTTCTCCTTACCCCCACTAACATAAGACCACGCCTTCTCCTTACCCCCACCCTCATGAATGCAATCCACCATTACCCCCACGATCGAGAAACCACGCCCAATATATGACCTTGACATTACCCCCACCATTGAGAGACCACGCCCACTGTGTGACACGCCCCTCCCCCCGGCCACGCCCACCCACCGATGGGTGGGTAGGTGATGGGGTGAGGCGGGGGGTTCTAGAATTCCCAATATTACCCTACTTATGTTATATAAAAGAATTTGTAATTTTATTTTATTTTGAACATTTGTAACTGACATTTATTTTATTGTACTTTGGGCATCGTTATTTTATTTAAACTCATTATATAAAATAGAACATCATCGCCTATACTACTTGTCTACCAGTTTTTAATTCCTTTTCCCCAAGAGTTAAGGTAAAAATTAAAACAACAAATGTGTCAGTTAGATTTAAAATTCCACTATGCTCCGGTCTGGTAGAGCCTCGGCTAGTGTTGAATCCAACTTCGTTTGGGTTTATGTGCTTCATCGGTGATAACCTCACGGTTAGTTATCGGTGAACGTCACAAGGTCTAACTGACAACGTTTGTAACTTTTGATCCAATCATTTTTTTGTAATTTATTTTTAACAATTTTAGTATTCTTAGGCTACGTTAAAAGAATATTTTTATTATTTATTTTTAATAATAAAAAAATAATAAATTATTTTTATTTATAAAATATAAAATTATATATATGTATGATATTGTCATGAGAAGAGAGGAAGAACAGTTGTAGAATTGATTGTTGAAGGAAAATGAAGAACCACAAATAAATGGCGGGCTGTTATGGAATGCAATATAAGGACGTCTGACGTGAATGTAAATGATGTAGGAGATCGTGTCAAGTGGAAGTATAGGATAAACACTCCAAGTAATCGAGATTAAGGCCAGGATAACAAGAAATAATAATAAATATGCCTTTAACGTAGCTTAAGAAAAATTGTCAAATATAATTTACAGCGAAATTCTTAATTCTATAAAAAGTTATACTATTGTTAGCTAAGTCTAAGACATTCTGCATATTTACTTCATAAAATTTAATATTAAAATAATGTTAAATTTTCTACGTTATTTTAAATCTAGATACACCAACTTAGGGGCATTAAAATTTTAGACCTTTTCACTGACAATAATTCCTCAAGTAAAATTATAATGAATTACGGTAACAAAACAATTAATTTAAGAAGCATATTATGTTGTATTTCTTAGAGAACTACTGACCTCCAATCGACTTCAAGTTGGTTTTGAATTCACAGTATGTAGATACATATTTGAAACAATCAGCGCCGAAATTTTCCCTAAGAAAGTTTTCATAAAATGGTAAATGTTGATATTTTTAGTTTTCACTTTATATTAAATTTAATTTTTGGAAAACTATATAGATTATTTGAAACTTTTATTAATTTGTCAAACATTAGCTTAGCCAACGCTATATTTTATTTGGAAATTAAATAATGAACAAAGATTTTGTGAAGATATGAAAATCATATCCACATTTTTTTCAATTAAATATTCGATAGTGTTTCCAAAAATCTATCTTCTCTGACTCTACTTTAAATTAAAGTTGATACAATGTACATCCAGATGAAAAATTATATGAAATGTCGATTTTTAAGAGTTATTGGGTATTAAAACCAAAAATTATATAATTTTTAATAAAATTGATCGATTTTGTAATATGTTGCGTAGTAACAAAATACATACATCAATCTAAATTATTTTAAATTAAAGCTTGTTTAATGTAGTATATGATAAATAAAAACGGTAGCACATTGAGGTCGCAGCACATTATAGAAGTGGCATAGTTGGGACAAGTATAGATGATATCTGACAGTAATTCAAATCACTATCATAATAAGTAGTTATATTTTTTTACTTTTAAGGCGTAT